GGAAGAAAAATCTAAGTCGCAATTTTACGCAAATAGTTGCTGGGCTTTGCAAAAGTTTACTGTAGCTTTGAAATTTGCTTGCGTGAAAGCTTCTGTTTGGCTGAGAAAAAGAACAGTCTTATTTTTATAAAACAAACCTGTCCAATATCTAGAAACACATCTAATTTTAAGATATATTAATAGAAAATTTAGGTACAAATGAGGCCTGTCCTACAGAATTTGGCAATATTCATTCGATTCAAAAAAATCTTTTATAAATACACATTTATTTTCGGGTTCTCAATCAATTTAAACAAAACTTTCTATTTCTTTAACGCACATGTTTCGCTTTTCACACCATCACCAGATAACCTTTACATATAACAATTATTTAAAAGTAATGCTATGTTGTTTATTTCAGAATAAAGTTTAGGCCTTGTATCAATTGTACCCACAGGGACATTGTTTCAGAAAATAGTTTGGAAGCAATCCGGGAAATAGTGTCCAGCCTGAGAAGTAACTAATTGTATAGTGAGCTCTCACTTTTTCATATTATTGACCCTTAAATTGTGGAAAATTTGTGCTATTTTATTTAGTTTTTTATCTGGTGATACATTTTCAGATGCTCGAACTTTGGGTAACGGTTGGTTATTCAGAGGCGAAGGTATCGCTCACCAAGGGGTAGTCAATGAAATTGTGGCTTACATTGAACATGGTAAGTAATTAAATTGTCAGGAAACCTAAACGAAATTTGGAAAATATTACATACGTTTTAGGTTCCTCGCGATCTGTTCGAACCATGCTAGAAGCAGGATGGAGATTGGAATCTTCTCAAGCTCTGTATACTTACTTAACTCGTTTGAATCAACCATTAATTCCCTTTTCAATTCAGTCGTTAGTCCTAGGTGAGTGAAACATTTAGGTGTAAAACGTCGTACATAAAAGATCGTCCAGAATCAAAAATCTATTACTTTATTAGTTAAAGAATCTCTCAAGACAATAACTTAAAGATAGCAGACGCAAAAATCATATTTTAGATCTGCTCAGCACCGAATTGTAATAATTTACTTTTCACTTTTGAAATTTTGTATTTTCATTAATTAGTTTTAAAATACAAATCTCAATATATGAAAACAGTCAAATCATTTTATAACAAAAGCAGATACCGCTGTTACTGTTTCAAACTACGACAATTTTATTTTTGAAATGCACCCGTCATTTATTTTTTCATATTTTTTATTCAATTTCCATTTGTCCATAAATCCAACATTTCGTTTAAATATTTAAGAAGCTAATTAATGATATTGGGAGGAAGGAAGCGGAGGAAGGGATTCAAGGGTTTAATTAAACCACACCCTTGATCAATATAGACACTTTATTACAAAAAGTTGATAATTTTTTATTATTATTTATTATTATATTTCAAATCAAACGAGATCATTTGACTGGAATTAATGTTATGTAGGTGCTTGGAGATTTTCTCGGAAACACAATTATTAGTCTTCTTGAGTCAATGTTGTCTTATTTTTAAATTATTTTGTGTCATTTATTCCATGCATAACGTATTTTCAAAATATTTATATTCAGATCAATATTTTCGTTCATACTATGAAATACTTTTTTATGCAGTTAAGTCGTTATTGACTAAGTTATTTATTAAACATGGAGAATATTAAAAATTAAATCGATGCTACATTTCAGTTGCCGGATGATAAATTGAACTATAAACTGATTATAATAGCAAATAAATGTAAAGTAAAGACGAGGGGAAAAACTTAAACATAATAGGATTTTCTTCTGATTCATTAGGAAAAAATAGTTTGCATCATATCATAAGCGCAATTTGCAAGTTTTTGAATAATTGCTATACGCTTGCATTTCTTGACTGTTTGATTAGTTTTGAGAAAAAGTAGRAATACATTAAAAATGTAAATGATGTTCTAATTTTATCTATATCACAAAGGCCGTTTACAAATAACAACATWTTTCTATAACAAATAATTTTTTTTAGAAAATWTCAAAGATTGATCCGGCCGTATAATGGCTCTTTAAATTGRTGTCGTTTTCATGTTTGTCTYCAGTCTTGGATAGATAAATATTATAAATTATTCTTCATTTTCCTAATTGCGACCAAAAATAGTTTACAATACTTAATTTATTAAAATTAATACTCTGAAAGCAATTGGGCATTAAAATAAAACAATTTACTCTGACTTTATTATTAATTACTTTTATTGTTCAAAAATCGGGTTCATCTATAGTTACTTTTTATTAAATAAATACCGTCGAATTAATTAGGGTCAGGTCAGGTAAAAATGTAAATATTTATTAAAACTGTTCACTTGCAAAACATGCATTGAATGTTTTGTAATAATGCATGTGAACAGTTTATGTCATAATAGAAACGAAAAGTTTGTGATTCAATTTATCAGCAATTAATGCAAGCACTGGAATTTCCTACACAAAACGGATTCATTCCAAGGATCAAACCATCATTGAATTTTAACATTGAAAAATTGCTATATTTTTAAAGATCAGGAAATTTTCAGATTAAATGGAAAATATGTCAGCATTTATGTTTTTATTTGGCAAAAATATGCGTTTCTTCCGCCATTATGCAAAAACCTGCAAAAGTAATTTAAATTTTGCAAACTTGWTAATATAAATTAAATTATGGTATTTTAGTAAATCTATTTTGTAAATTTTATACTTTCCTGGATGGAATGTTCCTTTGAAAGAAATTGAGAAACCATATATATGGTTTTTGATTGATATCTGATAGTTCTGTTAAAGTTATACTTTCGTGTTTTCGCTTTCCTTTAATACAAGAAAAAGTATACACAATTTGAATTCTCGTTAATATAATTTATAATATGTGAAGCCTATCAACTGAATAGAAAAGGTCAACTTTTTATTAGTTACTGTACTTTCAGGACCAATTCTGGMCAAAYATTAGAAATGCTGTGTATAGCTTATTAAAATTTTAAATTATTAAATTTAAATTACTTTTAGATGCCAGTAACATCGATGTAACACCGGAAATAGTAGCATCCGATGTTCTAGGGCTTATTAGAGAAGAACTATCATCAAGGCACAAAGTGCTCATTGGTTTAATTCTTCACCTGTTGGATTGCAGTATAAAGTTGTCTCCTGCCGATGAGCTCAGAGGACATACTCTACCAGTGTCTTTGCTTCCGTTGTTTTTTAATATCGAGGTAAGACCCGTATGATTTTCCGCTGTTTATTTTGCATACTGAGTATGATGCAGAAACTTGGAAAAACCTAGTGGATTAAAATAGGTTTCTTAACAATTGCCAATTTAATTTTATTACAATAGATGTATCCAGTTTTGTCATTGTACCGCTTAATCTGCTAAATTAATGAGGACGACGAATTGACTTTGTTAGTAGTTTTTGTATATATATTTTGTATATATGAACATTTCTAAATAGGAAAATCGACCTGAGTACCTACTTATATTTCAGCAATTACTGTATGTTTAAGTGTAAGCAGCAGAATTGTTGATACTTCCACACATTTAAGTGCGACTGTATGTTGAATATATTTTTCGAAGTTTTTTTGGGACGTCTTAAATACAAATATTGGAAGAGATGAAATAAATGTATTCATTGGATATTAAGATGACTATTAAGCTATACGTTCAGTTCAAATTTATTTWAAGTCGCTAAATGAGAAAAATTATACAATTAACAAAATTACGGCAACTTATYCTCATTTTGAAAAAATCTTAGATTTGGAAAAAAATTTGAACCGAATATTGTACCCGAAAAATTATTCTTGCTCAAAATAGAAATGGCATAAAAAAATGTTTTAAGATGAAACAAAATTTTGTATTTTGCCTGGCATTTTTAACATAATTCTGGAATTAGAAGCGCATAATTAAAAAAAGGCAGTGTGAAAATATTTGTTCGAGAATTCAAGGAAAATCAAATATTAATTACAAGGAGTGCTTCAAAATAATAGTGATACTAAAATGTATTTGCGTCGGAAATCGTGGTCAGTACCTATATCTGAAAAAAAGAGTTTTTCTCACAWTTTTWTATAAATGGAAGTACAAACASGACTTCCATACTAGACAATTGAATGTAATTTTATTACTGTAATTTCAAAAAAAAATCCGTAGAAACATGGGGTTAAACTGGAGTAATCCGTAGAAACATGGGATAGAATCGTGTTTTAGTTTGCGGTTTTTTTATTGCAAAATTGACTCAAACATGCACCGCCTATTTGGACGTTACTCAATAACCATTTCAGCCACAGAGTCCGTTTTCCTATTAGTGGATAGAAGATTTGAAGCCCGATGCAATAAAAGCAACACGAGTGAGGAAATAGYATTTTCACACAAAATGCGATATTTGAATGGCATACATTTAGGTGCAAAATTAAGCGAAAATTTCATGTCTTTCGTCCCGTTTTGACTCATTCCTCGGAAGCAAAATTAGCAAGAACTCTTATTTACATCATTTCAGAGCGAAATAAATGGCTTTTTAGGAAAATTAACCGATAAGGGAATGTTGGCAGTTTCCTCAAAAAAGTCTTGATTTCAAGACGTTTTAGATTTGTCTTTTTTTTTGAGTTGTAAAATCGACTCAATCATGACGCTGCCTTTTTCGAAGTTTTTCAAGCCCCCTTTGAGCCACATAATTAGGATAAAGAATTGAAAGTTCGATTCAGCCATAGCAACATGCGTGGGTAAATTCGAGTGGTTTTGACCCAAAAAAGCGAAATTTGAATTTCAAACTCTTAGATCAAAATAATATGCCGACATTTTTGTCCCGTTTTTGATTATTCCTCAGAAGCGAAATGAGCAAGAACGCTAATTTTTACACCATTCCAGAGCGAAATCAATGGCTTTTTTGGTAAGTGGACCATTGATAAGGAAATGAATGGAGCTTCCATGCAAAAAACTAACATTTCTTTAGTTGTCATTCAGCTTAGATGCAAAAATCTAGTTTAAAGCCAAAGTCTTAAAAAAACCCTGTGCTTTTAGTGTGATATAATATTTTAAATTATGAATGAAACCTTCTATTAGCAATTTTTAAGATCACAACTCTGTTTCGAAAGTTTTTAATTTTATGTTTATATTTATGTACTTTTTCAAAATTCGCGTTAAGCTAAAAAACCACATTTAAATTTCACTTATGTCTGAATTCAGACATTTAAATTCTCTATCCAGTGGTATAAACGTATTATCTCAATTTGTTCTTCAGATATGAGCAAAAAGGTGGCGTAATTTTTCAAACAATGATTTCATCTTTTAGGTTTTTATGTAATATTCAAATTCTTTTCGTTCGTCGTTTCTTTTGTATGAAATTTGACAATATTTCCCGAATGATGCTTTACCTACGTCATGTTTAAAAAATGATGGGGTTTTCAATATTAAATGTTACTCAATATAGTTAATATTTAATATAATTAACTAGTGCTATCGCCCTAATGGTTCTTGATATATGACCACATTATGACAGTATTTCTTATGTAATGTTTCACTTGATAAATTTATTATTTAATTCTCTATTGAGTGGTGTAAAAATGCAATGCTTTATCATTGTGTTACATATTAAAAAAACTATTTTAAAACCGCGCCGTGATAGTAGCAATGTGATAATAACAAGAGGTTTAAATACTACTTAAAATAATAATTTGTCCCCCTAACTTTTGAAACCACCAAAAAAGAGCATCTGGTTTAAAAACCAAGGTCCGAGAGATGTTATTTCTAAGAAGCAAATAAGGGCCTAATTTATCATTTTCAGAATTACCACTTTATGCACGAATGGAGAAGGATTCTGGCAATTTTCGTCGAATTAATCAGACAAGCACCCAATGCCCTACTTGTAGAAGAATCTCAATCGGAAGCATTGCTTTGAATTTATCTATCAAATAAATGAGCCATGTATAGTCCTTTTATTAACATGTATTTAGGTTATATAAAAATACTGCAATAATTGTGTTATAACTATAAAAAAAGTGTATTATTAGCATTATGGCAATGGTCGAACATGTAGGTCACAGATTGGACGAAGGAAACAACCTTAAGCGACCTCCGATTATTTTGATATTTATTTTAATTTGCTTACAATATTTTAAATATTTTGATTGGATATATAATAACAGGTGTCATATGCATGTGTAATAAGCTTAGTCACTAATTTATGAGACATGAAAATTGTCGCCAAGGTGAATGTTTACAACTACACCCCATACAGGAATTTCACTTTATCTTAGGCACATCTTTGCATCAAATATTTTTCCATTTTGGTCATTCTTTACATTTATCAGACACTATCACTCTGTGCACAGACCGGATACATAAGCTTGGTACAAAGTTTACCTGCAATTTTTTTAATTTCCTCAAAAATTAATCAAAACGGATGAGTAGATAAGTATATTGACTCTTCTAACAAAAAACCGTTTATTAGTGATCGGTTTTGAGAACCAATGATGATTTGAGTGCTTCGGTTCTGTGTGAAGTGTGAAGCAAAAATATCAATATTTAAATGGCAGCAAATATGCCGAAATAATCCCATTTTGTTCCTCGTCGACCTCCCTAATTGAACCATTTTAAAGCATGCAAACTACAATTATAATGCAGAAAATAAGCATTATTATACACCGATAGCCTATTTCAAAGTATTAAGGCGAGTTTGTAACGGTTGTTTTCTGTATAAAGAACAGTATTTACTCTCAAGATAGTGAGAAATAACCCTGTAAAAGTTAGTGTATCTATGTATTAGCAAGTGAAATAATCAAACATGAACTCATTCATTAGCAGAAGGTTTCAGTTAAATAAGCGTATCCAAAATTACACTGCAAATGTTTCAATTTGTAATTGTTCTTCATAAGAGAAACAAAAGCAATTTATTCTCTAATACTATTGTTTTTATATCAACTTTAGCAGATAATTATACAATAATTTCAATAACTAACAACAAGTACATTATAAATCTAAATATTCTCGAAAAGTGGGTGGAGTGTTGCTAAAAAAATCAATTAACTTACAAAATAAAAAAAGAGCAATAAAGGATACCATTTTATAACAGTTACCGCAAATACATTATCGATTTGTATTTTAAAAATGTAATACTACTCTCTAGGACAAATTTTTAATTATACAGGGTGGTCGATGTTGAACGCAATTAATTTTAATAGGCAAAAGAGCCTCGAATATAAAGTAGACTCATTATAAAAAAACTTTGATAGCCGAGATGTTTCCTAACAGAGATACAGTGTCAAAGTTGAAGAAAAATATTTTTTTACAATAACTTTCAAGCTTTACATTTATATCGCATCACATTTTGTACACATCGCACTATAATAAATAGGGACGTTATAATTGAAATATTTTTTTAGTTTAACTTGGTGGTGCGTTAACTGGGCAGGATTTGTTTGCTCCAATCGGCAACGCCACTAAATATAAAAAAAGAAATAACAATTTTTAAGTTTTCTGATAATTTAAAAGCAAAAAAATGCTGTAAAATATTAATTTAACACTAGGTTTTACAATTTTAAATTTAAATCGAAAATTAGTGTAGGATCCGCTTCGCTCGCATTACACTTTGAAACCACAAAATCAAGTAGCAGTCCACCCGCACGCTTAGACTAGAAAGTTTTTAAACTTCCTAGAATAGAAGTAGTATATGTCCAAACAAAACTGTCTTCTAAATATTGCACCATTAACTTAGAACATTAACTATTTAATATTTAAATAAAAATCCTATGCTCTCTTGCAATTGTTATACTTAACCAAAAGGGATAAAAGGAAAATATTTTTTGCTGTCAAATGGTATTTTTATATAATTCAAATTTCCTTTTCCTAGTTGTGGGTGGTACTAAATCAAATAAACCTATTAAAGGACACTAACAACATCAACGAAGAATTGGAAAACAATTATTTGATTTTTCGGAAGCCAATTGTAGTTTATCCGATGAATGACGTTGTTGAATGTTGTTATACAAAAATGCAAGGACATGTTTAATATTTTAAGCTCATATAGAGCGTTTAGGCTTTTTGTAACAGAACTCTATATAAACTTTCAGATGAATCATTTCATTTCATTGTCAAACGGTTAATTTAGGAAACAACGTGCGTTCCAATTTTAATTAAGATAATATATTTATCAAGTTTTTAAAGATTGGACGCATTATTTAGAATATAGTGGTTTTTCAGCCATTCAACTTTTTGTTTGTAAATTCGCTGCGTAACTGTATGAACATTGTTTTCCAAACTTTTTTGTCAACTTAATCTGTCCTTTTGCCTAAAAGGATATTCTTGAAAATAAAACTTATTAGGTACAACTTGCGCTGCATGGCCTGCTGGTGTATAATTTTTTAATAGAATTATATTTATAATTTTTAATAAGTGAAAAAGAAAGATATACATTGGTATACAATAATAATATATAATAATATTAATAATATACATTGGTACTGGTTACAAAAAATAATTGATTCCCATTATTTACTTTGAATTGATAGCTATAGAGTTTTTTTCGCAAAAGGCAGTTTATAAAAACGTAACAAGCCATTGAATTGGGATTCTTAGGCTGAAACTTTGCAAACTTCTGGAAGTTTTTTACTTTCAACTTGAACATATAAAACCTTCTCGGTCGGGTTTTATATCATCCTATCTCTTTAAGTCAACTTGTTTAAACAAGTTTTTTAATTACAAGCTATTAGAAGGTAATAATGTAGATTTCCATTGATATTGATCAAGTGATATTATTTATTATATGAGGAAAATAGTAGTAAATTACATAATATGGCAAATATGCACAATTTCCTTTCGGCATATAAATCTAGTAAACATTCTAAATCGTAGTGAATTTTCGCAAATATTTTCCTTACGGATTGCGTATATTTGGAGCTATGTAATTAAGTAATCCAAGGTGCTTTGTTCTATTCGGTTAGTAGGTACTTTCGGAACGATTCATCTAAACTCTAAAGTAGCGGTGATGCTGTTGGTGTGAACAGTGATAATAGTATAATAACATGGCTGATGGTGATATCAAATCGGAAGAATTGGGTCAGATCAGGATCGAACGTCCGTTTTACGAAGATAAACAGCTAAGGCAGGATTTTTGTTACGAGAAGCCAATAAAACAAAGTAAGTCACTGGGTTTACATTTTTGTTTAAAATTTACTGCTCGCTTTAATGCACTTTTTAATCTTACGTTGTACACTTTACTCATTTTTTCCAACTGTGTCTTTAGTAGATAGATTACTTAACACAGCGATTTTCACATTTACGAGATCTTTAAAAAACATACCCCAGATCTAAGATTCTAATGGATCAAATTAAAGTAGAGTGCAAAGGAGCGTCATTAAACGTTTCGAATGACTGGACGTTGAAGCATCAAGATACGTTTGTTTTTTTTTATTATTAGTATATTATGTGCGCCAGTCAGCGTATCTAAAAACCCGCTTTTTTCTACTTTATTGGCAACTGTTGCGTCTTTTAAATTAAAAAAAGTTACAAGATTACAAATTTCTAAAATTTGTTATATCAATTTTCAATAGAGCATTTCTCAAAGTTTATTAAACTTTAATTGGCAGTGTTCTTACACCGATTGTTGGCTTTTTTCTTGACTTTTTGTGTTTTTCTTAAATTATATTTCTCTAGTTGCTGATATGTAATGAATTTTATCAATTAAATGTAATTATTTCTAAAAGTGTCACAGAAGAATATTCGAGATTTCAAGTAGGTACAGTTGTGTCAGCAGAAAATATGAGAAAAATGCACTTTTCCAGGCATGATATCAGTGGCATGACCATGCGTCCAATAATTTCTACAAATGGGGTTAAATCAGCCAAGGTTTTAAAATTATCTTATCACTGTTTAAGAATTTGGAAATGCTCCAGTAGAAGGATAATTTAAATTTTTCATATTTTGAGCATCTTTTGTGTTGAAATAATTATATAATTAATATAATAATTTGATTTTACATGCATTAAAAAAATGCTCAATTTAGCGTCTTATCAGAGTATCTTTTGTTGAGAAAGTCTAAAACTCGGACAAATACAGGAGGCAAAATCTACACTAGATCGAACAAAATCAGTCACTTCAAGTCAGTCACAAGCAAGATTCTTGAAATTTTCATCAAACTTAATTTTAAGTTAATTTAATAAAAGACTTGGCATGTATTTTTGCAGCACTTAAATTAAATTATAAGCTTAAGATTGCATTTTGAATGAAAATTTCACTTGGACTGTATGAGGTCCTTCATTTTAATGCAAGCAATGTTTTCCGTTGTATTTTCATTTGTGTAAATTGTTGCACTGGGCTTCTTCTTCGTTAAATGCTAATATAAGCACGTGTAAACCTACAACCGGATATAGAATAACATTTTATGTGAAACACAAAGCTATCAAGTTATCTACAAACAAAACGTTGTCGTAAGTCAAATCCAACTGAATTTTGAAGATAATAACTAATTTAAACAATGTATTAAGCTAACTAAATATTGATGGAAAGTTGATAGTCGCATCCTGGAACGCGTACTTACACGTGGTTTTCAAGTGTTTCGATCTACTTTTACTTTCTACAAGTGTATTGTTAGGAAACTAAAAAAAAACTGTATAATTATAATATATTTTTCAATTTGTTCTCTGTTTTTAGTGGTGTTTTTGCCTGTTTTATTTTACAGCATGGTCCAGTAGTATCCTTGAAGAACTAAAACAGTGAAATAGAGTTTTCACATCTTTTTCAAAATACCTACTGGGTATTTCTTTTCAGAAACGCATGTTTAGAATAATTATTGCAGATTTAACGTACAATTTTATTGCAAATTGAAACAGGTTTCAACAACTGAAACAATTATTTTCTACCAGGATTTTCACAATTTTTTTCTATGCTTCTTTAACATTAAATGAACAGGAATTATTTCGATTTTGATGTTTTTTGAGAACGAACCATCAACACAATTCTTATTAAAACAAGTAAAGAACAAGTTTAAAAAATGTTGTCATGTCAATTGAAACTATTTTTCAATGAGCAAAAAATACAAATTTTTATTTAAAATAAATATGGATACTCTGAAACGTGAAATAATACTACTCTGTAGAATACATTTTATAGTATCTATCACCCTCGAATATTAAGAAAGACATTTTATTTACTTTGAACCAAGCGAAAACTTTCCTAGTCCAAGTTTATTTGTCTGAGAAAAATGCGATTTTCAGATGTAGCTCAGAAATGTTCACAAGAATTTCGACTATCCAAGTTCCTTGTCGGTGTAATTCCAGTGGTAGGATGGCTGCCGAAATACAATTGGAAAAATGATCTTGTAAAAGACATAATTTCGGGAGTTACTGTAGCAATTATGCACATTCCTCAAGGTAAATAGTTCCAATATAAGTAGAGTAAATATAAAAATTAATCACTTTGGCATTCAAATGGAACATTTCGTTTCCAATATTGAAAACCKGAGAACGAACTTTTACTACTATAAATTTGAATTCTCGASACATTTCATGMATAGGGTTTTTAAACAAAAAATTCGCGATTTATAACKGATGATTAAATTGAAAAAMAYATTAAATATTTTTTCAATGCGTAATATTTTATTGCAATATTATAAATTCYACAATCAGACTAACTAGAACCCTTTTTCTACTACTTGAAAACTCTCATTCAATTTTTTTTAAGGCGCAAAMTATTTTCTTWAAGATMACAACTAYCAAGAATAGAAATAATTAAATGTTATATCCATATACCAAGCATTTAGCATAAGCGATAACATATTTAAGTGACATACTGAAATCATAGATGAGCGTTTTTTCAATATAYATATTGMATTTTTATTATTGTCTCAGGCAACATTRTTATTRTTAACTATTTAATGGTTTTAAMTAGTTAAGTTGTTTAAATGTTTCTGAACTGTGGTTTTGAATAATGGTAAAGACCATAATCAAAAAGAAACAGAAAATTGGCTGAACAGTAGGCAAGACAAATGTACGCGCTAAACTGCTTATTTATGTAATATAAYAAAACGTTTTAATTTTGACTTTTGCWTYTCTCAAACTATCACCCAAAAACCTGATTATAAAAAAATGTAATAATAAATTTGAACCGAAATATCCAAATCGTAAACTCCTTGAYTTTTTTRAATCAATGCAAAACAKATTATTTTYCATWWTTMRCAWTATTGAAAAAATCTTTCCGAACGTAGAAACYATTAAAATSTTATTGTATCTGAACTACTGTGACCGCTCATGCCWAAATTTTAAAACTATTATTTTATACATTGAAAACTTGCTGTCGGTTACTGCAATTACATCACACGATATCTTAAGGCAGCCGATTAACTTTAACTTGTTTAAGGAATCATTAAAATATCTACATATGTAACTATTTAAAAATTTAATAAGTGGCATTTTAGGAATGGCATACGCTATGCTTGGAAACGTTCCTGCTGTAGTTGGAATTTACATGGCATTTTTTCCCGTACTAATCTATTTTATTCTCGGCACTTCGCGGCATAACTCAATGGGTAAAAATGAAAAATTCTGAAGCAAACTCCAAAAAAAGGTAAACATATTTTTTAGGCACCTTTTCAGTGGCTTGTCTAATGACTGGCAAAGCTGTTCTTCAGTACAGCGATCCCGGTTATTTTGCATCATCCAGTATTGATACTCCAAGCAATTCCACGGAAATGGAGATTACAGGATACAGCCCTATTCAAGTAGCTACAGCGGTAACTTTTATCGTGTCATTATTTCAGGTAAGTGAAATATGGGTGGAGCAGAACTTTATATATAACTGCCCGACACACAACTCACAAAAAAGCACAGCAAATTCAAAACAAAAGTCCAAAACCACCCCAACCCAGTGGTAAAGTCCACATTTGAGACAAATCATGGCGAATATCGAGAAAATCGGGCCCAAACCTTTATTATGGCTCCCGTTGAATGGGATCTCCCAACTTAAAACCCCTAAGCTAATCATCTCACCCTCTCCCCTCTCCCCCACACCCACCCCTTGACCGTTTCAGTGTTCGGAATATTAGTATTTTTTTTCTCTTTAACTGCAGAGGTACAAGGGCAAGGGGGTGCTGAATGCACCAATCAAAATTTGCGCCGAAAATTCAAAATTTAGGATTTAATATTCAACAAGCCAACAAGGCTCCAAGAATGAGCAAAAGTCCGAACGGACTAGCTCTGAGAAAAAGTCCAACACATCCTGCCCGACGAAAGAGAAGGAACACAGCAGTTCTCAGCAGGGCTCCGCCCCCTGTAGCGTAGTTACTCTTTCTGATACAGACATTCGTCGATCTACCTTGTTCCACTTATGTATTTTTCCTCAAAATAGATCTTTGCCTATTACCTGCATGTTATGTTGTTGCATTTTTTTTTTGTTATTGGATTAGTGGAATTTATTTATTAAAAACTTTGATCAACATCAACACGAAGCGTTCGGTTGTATTTTTAGTACTTTGCAACGAAAATGTGATAAATGATAAGACAAATTGAGAAATTCTCAGTTTTCCGACAATTATCGAATAAAATGTATATGATTGTCCATAACAATATTTCGATTGTTATTTGATAACTTTTGAAAAATATAGCAAACCGTCCTTCAACTTAGATTCCCATACAGGGCGATTCATAATTGGCGTCATTCTTTTTAAAGGGTAATAGGGGCATGGAGAGACGATACAAATATTGGAAACAATTTTTTCAAAAATGTCTAGATATTATCAGTTGAAAATCGACTGTCAACTTTGTTATGAAGCATTGTTTTTAAATGCTCCCGCCTTTAATTGGTAGCCTATTGGAATACTTAACTGTTCGTAAAGAAAAATATGCAGAGTACCTTGAAAAACATTATTGTCATCTTTCTGATATAGTTTTCTGCAAATTTTTCTCAGTTTTTAATAACATTTATTTTTTTACTATTTTTTCTGTTCTCCTAAAACACAACCAGACAAATCCTCCAGAGAAATGACGCCAATTTTCAATCACCCTGTATATTGTTTATTTTCTTTTTGTGGACACAAATTAGACACAATTTAATTCATGAGTAAGCCAATTTAAGCATTATTGATCCCATACGCTATTTCATATGACACATTTGATTATTTTTAAGTAAAAACACAATTTATTTTGGTCTAAGAATATGCTAGTCTGAAGAAGAGATTTGTTGCAGGTGGCTATGTATGTTTTAAGATTAGGTGTTATTAGTGCACTTTTGTCCGAAACTTTGGTAAGTGGATTCACCACCGGAGCTGCCATTCATGTTCTCATTTCGCAAGTAAAGGATTTATTTGGATTAAACATCCCAAAGTCCAAAGGCAATTTTTCCAACATCTACGTAAGTATCTATTTTCAAGCACAATTTCGATGAAAACTGAAAAACGCACGACTTTGATTTGTTTGTAGACGATAATTGCTGTATTTGGCGAACTTGTGAACACTAATGTGGCCGCTCTTGTGGTCTCAATCGTAACAATAACAATATCTGCAATCAACAATGATCATTTCAAGGTAGGTCTGAGTGATTAGATTCATCCAAGATGAAGAGCGTTAATAATTAGGGAACTAATATAAAACACTAAGCTACTATATCTAGGGAATTAGAAACACTTGCCTGCCTGCTAGAAGCCTTTCAAAAAAATTGCAATTTTTCTATTTTATGATTAATTCTCCACTATTCATAAGTGCTGTTCTTTGCTAAGATTTTAAGTGCAAAGAACTATTTTTACACTGTTTTTTTTTATAAATCACAAGCTTTCTGCTCCCTGAAAAACTTTAATTTAAAAAGTAATATTTTCCATAGGTTAACCGTTGGGTCAATAAATTAAATGTGTGAAATGTGGATGTAAAAATCGCCGCAATAGACCTAAATTGATTTCAGAAAATAGAGAAAAACCTGAAAAAAAAACATTGTTTTATATCTCCAACTGCCACACCAGGCAATGTCGAAGTTGACTTAAATAGGTCAATTTTAAACGCGAAGAAGAATGTGCATTAATTATGTTAAGTTTTTTCGGGTTACTCCAGCCAGATTTGATTAGTTTCGTTTACTTTGAATCACTTCAATTATTAGTTTATCACATTTACCTAAACTTAAGGCATATTTGCCTTTTAACTATTTATGAAATGAAAACCGAGCGATGTAAAACTTAGAGATCAATTAGCAATATGCTTTAAAAAATGGCAATATTTAAAGTACCGTTCCAAAAATACAAGGTATTAAACATTTTCGACTTATTTTCTCGAAGTGATTGAATTCGCATTTTGCATATGAAAATGGTATATACTTATTGTAAAGTATTTAATTTTGTCCGATAAATGGACAAACAAAAGTTGTTTTCATATATTTTTCTCGTAAACGAAACAAAAACACGCCGAAAGTTCAGAAGGCAAAAAATATGTATTTTTACTTACTGCAGCTTAGGTTCTCATTATAAATTTAGTGATAACCAGTTGTGAACTTACTCCCGCCACTAAATGTTTACAAAGTTCTCAAGTGACTTAATAATGTTAATCTAAGTATCTTAATAAGTTTAACACACTCTTCTTGGAAATGTTACGTTCGGACTTTTGCGTGTAAGAAGTGAGAGGTTGTGTCTTTAAATATTCCCGCATCTTTTTAAAGCTCTCGTTTTCATCCGTGTTACTGTTTTATACAGAAAGTCTCATTGGTATTAAATAAGCCTGGATAACGCAGTGAATTTTTAGCAATTGGCGCAATGCTACACAAATGGCTTCGTGCGCCAACCCAACAGCGCTCCGGCGCAGTAACTCAGTTCCGATGCTGGTAAAATGTTGATCATTTTTTTACTTGTTTTTTAGATTCATTTTAAGGGCCGTTTATTAAGAATCATTTGAAAATTTCATAATTTTTCAGTTTTAGTCAAGTTACTCTTTCTTCTAAATGCCCAATTTCCTAAAGTTTCACTTAAAAATGCTGACAATGTTAAGGTATTTTCGCTTTGTAAAAAGTTTTGAAATTCCTTTCCAACTTCGAATTTGTAACAAAAATCAAATAATTTTCTATCAAAAAACGCACACAATAACCGAAAGTTTATAACAGATTATTTGGAAATCTCGTCACTTCCATACCTCTGAATACTGTAGTTTGTTAAAAAAATATAGTTTTTTAGGTTTGACTGAATGAATGTGTTTTACTTTCTACTCAAAAACGCTCTATTTTGTTGAGTTTCACTTCAAAATACTGACGATCTGGAGGTCTTAAAATGGACGCAAAAAATTACAGAATAAATTTATAGCTTTGTAAAAATTTTACAAAACTTTTTCAGCGTCGAATTCMCGACAAAAACTTTTTCTCCAAAGCCGATCACAAAACTAAAAGTTTTTAATCGAAAAYGCAAAAAACCATTATTTTCTCATGATTTTATTCTTTTCTGACAATAATGAGATCGTTTCAGCCAAAAATTATAAAATTAATTTTGCTATAAAATTCGCMTCATTCATCTGTTAGCAGGGAACTTTAGAAAACCCATTCAGCATCGAATTTGGCACAAAAACCAAATAAATTTATWCAGTTTTTYACCGAAAGTAATTAGGATTATCTTGATAAAACGACCAGAGCAAAAGTATACAAAAAACTATTTGGAAAATTCGCCGCCCTCATTGCTCTGTAGGTTTTTAAGTTCCTTTAATTCAAGTTTTATCAAAGTTTCTATTAAACAATTATTTTTCCGCAAAAATTATTAGTATTTTTTAATTTTACTAGAAATACTGATAATTTTCAGGTATTTTCTGTGAAAAATTATAAGATAACTTTTATTACAACACTCGCCTCCTTAACCGCTTTGCAAAATATTTTAGAAAAGTTTTTGCAGCTTCGAATTATGAAAAAACCCTAATAATTATTTCTGGGTCTTTTTCGAAAACTATTTCCCCGAACTGAAAAAGCGAAAGTTTATAATCATTTATTTAGAAACCCTTGGAAACTGGGGTTTTTTCATTTTTAGGTCAATATTTCTAAACAACACTGTATCTAAACAGGAAAACCGCGTTTTTTCTAACGTTTTACTGTGAAATACTGGCAAACTGAATCTTTTATGCAGGAAAATGAAAAGATTGATTTGACAAGAAAACTCGTCGAGTTTTTTTGGGCTCAACAACTCAATAGCGCAACTCAACACAATGTTACTCAGGCTTAGTATTAAATAATTGATTAAGTTTCAACACACAAAAGTCATACACAAAATTTCACTTTTTCTGCATTTTTTGCATAGATCTGCAAAATTAATTTTTAGAGATACAGAATACTTGCTTAGGATTGAACCTTAGTTTCTCTTTAAAATATATTGTGTCTGATTACCCAAACACGAGACTTTTTTATGTAGCTCCAATTTACAATTTTCAGCCACTTTTTGCAAAAGTGTCACCTTTTCCTTTCCCGATGGAACTGTTAGCTGTGGTTGTTGGAACGGTGGTGTCAAAATATTGCTATCTAGAGGAAACCTACGGAGTTCAAACGGTTGGTGACATTCCAGTTGGGTAAATATTTATAATTTTTATTTCAGAAAGTTTTATTTTTTACTTCATTACTAGTGAAAAGTGTATCGCGTCGAGTCCTAACGAGCCGAGATCGATCCGAGCAGGATCAGCGGCAGATTCCATTGTTTCGTCAAAACATCCACAAAAAATGCATCGTATGTCGGTTTTTTGACGAAATATCAAAGGAATTTGCAGAGCCTCAGGCTGGCCTCGGCTGGTCAACATACATTTTAATTTTAAAAGTGCTGATGCCTCTGGAAGTAGCAAACAAGCACCAAACAACATACTCTTTTTTACTTATATGTATACAGTCTATTAATCCAGACAAATGCAACGACTATTTTGCTTTTCCTTATTAAACATTATTTTTTTTGCTCTGGTCGTTTTATCAAGATAATCCTAATTACTTTCGGTAAAAAACTGAATACGTTTATTTGGTTTTTGTTCCAAATTCGAAGCTGAAATGGATTTTCTAAAGTTCCCTGCAAACAGATGAATGATGCGAATTTTCTAGCATTTCTAGCTGAAAAGACCTCACTATTGTTAGAAAAGAAGAAAATTATCAGAAAATAATGGTTTTTTGCGTTTTCGATTAAAAACTTTTAGATTTGTGATCGGTTTTCGAGAAAACCTTAATGGTTTTCGGGGAAAACTGGATGAATTTATTTTCGTTTTTGTCGCGAATTGGAAGCTGAAAAAAGTTTTGTAAAATTTTTGCAAAGCTATAAATATTATCGTTTTAATTTTTAAAGTTTTTAGTGATTTTTCGCCTCCATTTTAAAACCTCCAGATCGTCAGTCTCAGGCTGGCCTCGGCTGGTCAACATTATACATTTTACATAACTTTAACACATACATAATTTTAAAAGTGCTGATGCCTCTGGAAGTAGCAAACAAGCACCAAACAACATACTCTTTTTTACTTATATGCATACAGTCTATTAATCCAGACAAATTTAACAACTATTTTGCTTTTCCTTCTTAAACATTATGCCGCGACAGAAAATCTATATAGTTTGACGGTGTTTTTACAAAACATCAACGGACTTTTACCGCGAATCAGGCTCGGCTCGGGCTCGGCTTGTTATATCTGGACGCGGCAGTAGATCGTGATCGGAATAGTTTCTTGGCTTCTTTTACAACTGAAAATTTTGCATATAAACTACCGAATTACGAACTCATAGTGCGGACAATTCACGATTTTCAATTTGTATCTTGTAGTTCAATATCTCACAATTCAGCGCCTAAATTAAAAAAAAAAAATTTGGCCGAAATTTGAAATATTGTTGAAGCTGCAGAAAATTGAGTTTATTGGCTGCGCCAAAAATTGTGAAAATCATGATATTTTTTAAGTGCGTTTGGTTTATTCTAAAATAACTGATAATAAAATTTCCGTTTCATGCAGTAACATTTAGTAATATACCGGTAATTCTAGACGTTTTTTTTTCGCCAACGTCCGTCAACGGTAAATTTATCAGAAGAAACCTTATAAAACTTAAAATTTTTGAATTTCTTAGACCAGACGCACATCGTATATGTCGCTTATATGCATTTTTAGATGTAAGCGAAGCTAAAGAATTAACCCTTTCCAGTTGTACATGATATCCTGTATGTGAACTTAGAAAAATACACGTTAAACAAAGTTTCAGCATGTATTTTTAACTTCGTTGAAGAGTGTTTTCAAGTTGCCGCAATTTCATATTAGAACCAGTTTAAAAGAAGTTCGCAGTAGAACACCTCACTTATACCTCTAATAAACGGCGTATCAGAAGATAAACATAACGAAATAATATAAAAACAAAAATGCGCAAGAAATTAAAGTTTTATAAAAGCTTTTCCTAGCTCTTTCTCTTATGTAATAATCAAGATATATTTCTTGACATACAAGGCAGAAAAATGCTCTAGATACTAACTGACAAATCTACATTGATTTGATTCCACTTAGGCTCCCAGATCCGACTGTTCCTCAATTCAGTCTGCTTCCCAACCTAATTGTAGATGGAATTACCATATCCATAGTTTCCTATACTATAAATCTATCTATGGCACTTATTTTTGCGCAAAAACTGAATTATGAAGTAGATGCTAATCAAGAGTTACTCGCCATGGTAAGTCATATGAATAAACGAAGCCAATTGGGACGAAACCTAAGTTGTTTTTCCAGGGTCTTAGTAATGTGTTTGGTTCATTCTTTTCCTGCATGCCAGTTTGTGCATCTTTATCCAGATCGCTGATCCAGCAAGTTGTAGGTGGAGTGTCTCAACTAGCATCTATTGTATCATGCCTGATTCTACTTGTGATCTTACTGTGGGTGGGGCCTTTCTTCGAACCACTTCCCAGAGTAAGCCTTATATTTTATTAAAGTACTATTTATTTTTAAAGTGCGGATAAACGTCGATAAACAGAAAGTAAAAATAGAAATACAAAAGAAAGTGGGAAAAAATACAATCCGATTTATGTGCTTTGTGATGTAATTCGTAATAAGGCTGGGTAACACTGTATTGAGTTGCGCTATTGGGTTGTTGCCGCTCTCTGAGTTAACGAGTTATAACTCATCTGAGTATTAACTCATTAGAGTTATGTAATTTATTAAAGGTTTACGATACCCGAGACTGGAATTTTTACATCTAAAAAAAAGGTCATTACCATTTTTTCTGAGTAACGTACTTTGTTCAAACAACTAAAAAAAGACATCTAGATTTTCCCAGCAACAGGACGGAGACTAAAGAAGACAAGTCTTGTAAAATCGATCTCTTAATTTTCTTGCATAAAAGATTCAGTTTGCCAGTGAGTCCAGGGTTTAAGCTACAGTAAAAGGTTGGAAAAAACGCAGTTTTCCTGTTTAGATACAGTGTTGTTTATAAATATTCACCTAAAAGTGAAGAAACCCCAGTTTCCAAGAGTTTTCCCAATAAATGATTATAAACTTTCGCTTTTTCAGTTCGGGGAAATATTTTTTGGGAAAAGACGCAGAAATAATTATTAGAGTTTTTTCCATAATTCGAAGCTGCAAAAAATTTTCCAAAAATGTTTGCAAAGCGGTTAAGGAAGCGAGTGTTCTAATAAAAGTTATCTTTTAATTTTTCACAGAAAATACCTGAAAATTATCAGTATTTCAAGTAAATCTACAAAATACTAATAATTTTTGCGTACAAAAAAATGTTTAATAGAAACTTTGCTAAAACTTGAATGATCTGAAAATTTAAAGGAACTTTAAAAACCTTCAGAGCAATGAGGGCGGCAAATTTTCCAAATATTTTTTTGTATACTTTTGCTCTGGTCGTTTTATCAAGATAATCCTAATTACTTTCGGTAAAAAAACTGAATAAATTTACTCGGTTTTGGTTCCAAATTCGAAGATGAAATGGATTTTTTAAAGTTTCCTGCAAACAGATGAATGAGGCGAATTTTCTAGCAAAATTAATTTTGTAAGTTTTGTCTGAAAGACCTCACTATTGTTAGAAAAGAAGACAATCATCAGATAATAACGGTTTTTTGTGTTTTCGATTAAAAACTTTTAGATTTGTGATCGGCTTTCGAGAAAACCTTAATGGTTTTCGGGGATAACTGGAGGAATTTATTTTCGTTTTTATTGCGACGCTGAAAAAAGTTTTGTAAAATTTTTACAAAGCTATAAATAT